GGTAAATAGACAAGGCCTTTTCCCCAGGGTAGGGGAGTCCAAAACTAGAGGGCATAGATTTAAGGTGAGGGGGAGAAAGATTTAAAAGGAACCTAACGGGCAACTTTTTCATGCAGAGGGTGGTGCGTGTATAGAATGAGCTGCCAGAGGAAGTGGTGGAGGCTGAAATGATTACAACATTTGGAGGGGTATATGATTAGGAAGGGTTTAGTGGAATATGGGCCAAACGCTGGCAAATGAGGCTAGATTAATTTAGGTTATCTGGTTGTCATGGACAAGTTGGACTGAAGGGTCTGTTCTCATGCTGTCCATCTCTATGACTCAATGACACTCCAAATCATTCTTATTGCCCATTCTTGCAGCTTAACGAATACATGTGAATCAGACTGGCCAATGCTACACAGAAAGCGTCAAATGAATGTCGCCATTAAAGTATATGCCTCAATATAATTTCTGCTGACCTTCACTGTTCTGGCGATGCAGCCCAAGGTTTTATTTGCTTTGTTTAATCACCTCTCCACATTGTCTCAGATGTGAAAGTCATAAATGCACCCAATCATTTTGAAGGATCTCCCTTTACTAATTCTAACCTCCTGATTATTTGTTTCTTGGTTTCCATCCCAAATGTAAAGTTTGAGCAGTTGCCTGCCCAATTTCGTAACAGAGTTTATAAACCATCATTAAACTGTTCACTGACATTCTCCATGCCAACTGTATTCTCTACTTTAGTGCTGTTAATGGGACAAGTTTACAGTTGGCTTCTGTTTTCTGTTCCCTGTACATTGTTACAAAGAGGAAACTACAGCAGTTCAAACGTCAGGTTCAGCAGTAGTCTACTCAATAGATCCTCAATCCAGTTTGTCATTATCCCTCTCACGCATACTGTTTTCTACCTTTTTGATCCTGTTTTGTATGGTTGACATTAGAATCCCAATAAAATCTAGTTTGATTAATTTTCATTTATGATGTGTCTTGTTAAAGGCTCTTCGGAATAATTTATGTCAAAGCTAGTTCCGCTACCTATATTATTGGTAATTTCTGCAAATAAATTAAGCAGTATCTCCTCCTTCTTATTAAGAAATGTTATGTAAAGATGCCTCCAAATTAGTGTAGTTTCTATTTTTTTCCTCACTCAGCAATGGTGGGAAATCTGGCCTCAAATTTTCCAGGACAAATGTATGTCCTTGAAGTATCAATAGTTCACCTCCTGAACCCAAAGGATCTTGCATCACTACAGACAGTATCTAACATACAATCTTCTAACCTTCAGCAATCCATGATATATGCCATCTGACCCAATTTGTTAGCTATCAGTAGCCTTAACCACTCAAATATATTATAGAATATTCATTGCACTACAGTGATGTATCAAAAGCAATGGCCGAGTGGTATTATCATTGGATTTTTAATAAAGAGACTCAGGTAGTCGGTAATGTTCTGGGGACCCTGATTTGAATCCCACCAAGGCAGGTGGTGGAGTTTGAATTTAATAAAACTCTGGAATTAAGAGTCTAATGATGACCATGAAACCTTTGTCATACTTTTAAGGAAAAACCGAACTGGTTCACTACTGTCCTTTAAAGAAGGAAATTTGCCATCCTTACCTGGTCTGGTCTACATGTGACTCCAGGCTCACAGCAATATGCTGATCTTAACTGCCCTCTAGACAATTAAGGATGGCAACAAATGGTGACCTAACCAGCGGCACCCACATCCCATGAATAAACCAGAATATTTGATTCACTGTTCACAATTTCTGGAAAACATTCACTTATAAAGCTTTTATATCCCAGCATTCAAATACTCCCATTTCATCCTCCAAAACCAGTTTGTACTTGTACTGCTATGAACCTGTTTTTGACTCCAGAGCATTTTTGGATATTTAATACCTTATTTTGTCTCAATGGTTTTGCATACTTTTCTTACCATTCTACAAAAGCATCGAAGAAATTGTTGTTTTTATTTTATACAACTTATCTTTTCAACAGTTTGAGGTTTTCTTCGTTTATCTTTCACATTTACTGTGGAGAGACAAACAGACTTAATATTTCAAGTCCAGTATGAGGATTCTTCCAAACTTCATATCGAACTCGAAATATTAATATTATTTCCTTCTCCACAGATGCTGCCAGCATTCCCTGTATTTGCTTCATATTTCCACCACGCACAGTATTTGCTTTTATTTCTCTGTAACAGTCCTTGTATATATTTACCTTAAATTGTTAAATTGGTTATAAATTTGAAATCATGAAACATGCCAAAAGACAGCCTACAGACACCAAATACAAAACTTTCAGGAACTTGGATCATACTATAACATGGGGAAATGCAAAACTATTCACTAGTGGGGAAAATTCAAAAAGCTGAATAATTTTTGTAAATTGAGAGAGACTAGGAAATGTTGACATTCAGAGCTTTCTGCATGAGCTTATACATGAATCAGAGAAGTTCACCAAGGCAATGAAGAAGGCAAGTGATATGTGAATTATGAGTAAAGAAGTCTTACTGTGTTATATGGAGTCTTAGTGAAACCATACCTGTGTACCTTGTACAGTTTGGCCCCCTTACCCAAACAAAGCATATCTGTCCTAGAGACAATGTAATGAGTGCTTACTAAATTCATGTCTGGGCTGGAGGAATTGTCTTAGGAGAGATGAAGTAAACTAGGTCTATGCTCCATTAAGAATGTGAGGAGATCTAATTGAAGCAAATATGATATTTAATGGGCGAACCATGAAAGGATATTTCATCTACCTGGTAAGTCTACAAATAGAGGCTACAGACTCAAAGTAGCTGATCAGCCAGTTAAGACTGAGGTGAGGTGATTTCTTTTCATTCAACACTCAACTCTGGAAATCTCCACATCAGAGAGCTGTAGATGGTCAGTCACTGAAGATATCAAGAGATTTCTGGCTCCTGAGTGAATTAAGGGAATGGGGCCAGTGTAGCAGGTTGAAATTGAGGTACATAAGCCATCATTTTATTGAATGGGAGGCAGGCTGGAAAGACCAATTGTGTAGCTCCTAGTTCTGATATTCTTCTAGTACTACTAGAAAGAAAGAATCAATTGAAATTGGTCCTTTACTTTCATCAGAGTTTTTTTTAATTGAAACATTACAATTTCCAGCTAGACATTATCCTTTTATTTAGCATAAAAGGGCATTTTAATAAATATCATACTCTCAATTCTGACAATTCCAGATTATAAATGTAAAATAATTCCTTCATTGCACCTCCCTCCATCATTTTAGGCAAGGGTATTAAGAGATATGGAAGCAAGCTGAGTAAATGAAATTAAGATACAGATCAACCATGATCAAATTTAACGGTAGAGCAGGCTTGAGGGACTGAACAACTTACTACTGTTCAACATGACTCATCACTCTGCATTAATGTCATAGCAACAGGCTCTCATAGTCCTCATTTCATTAATTCACCTAAATGTGATCAACATGATCTTGAATTTGCTAACGTGATGCAGTGTATATTATAAATATTTTTAAATCAACATGTTCAGACAGGTTATGACACACTTCTGGGGCAGGTGGAGCTTGAACATGGGCCTTCAAGGGTTGGGTCACTACCATGGCACCACCAAAGCCTTTACAGTATGCATAATAAAGTTGGGATTAATAAGTGACTAAAAGGTTATCACTTAATATCTGGGTCAGACAATGTCCACAATTAATTATTCAAACCTTATCCATTGGACACATATTTGGTGGGAGAATCAATCAAGAGATGCAGTTGATGAGCCACGTGTTCTAGGTTGGCGGAGGTGGGTTAATTTTGGGGATAACCAGAGGGGTTGAAATGGTCTTTTTTTTGTTCCCAGTCTCAATCATTCTTACATTTCTATGGTGTATAATAGCACTTCTGGTCTTTGATTAATTTCATGCATTGCTCACTCCCAGTTATGTTTTAACACCCTTCCATTTACCAAAAGTTGTGCAATGAATTTCTGCTGACAAGTGTCCACAGTACTAAATAAATCATTGGAAACCTGTAACTGTTAGAAGAAAAATGTTTAATTAAACCAAACTGAGAGTAAACTCCCCCAAACCATAAACTGTGACAACGGTCAAACTGATGTTTTTTGTTACTGTTGTTTTTCATATCAAATTTAAGAAGTGGAATCATTTGGATGATGTGCTCCATGCGTGAGCATTAAATTGCTGATGTAAATTCTTTAATTTGAAGACTGTACATTTATCTGGAACAAATTAAACAAATAGTCATTGCCTTGTGGGCCAATGAGATTGCTTTGTGCCCCGCCTCCTTACCCCCAGGAATCTACTTGCATCGTTGCTGCTAGTCTTCCATTCTTGCCTTGCATCTGAATGGCTTTCCTAAAATAACATCTGGCAAGTTTAGTAGTTTGGAGTTGTGCATCTGGGGTTGACTCATTGAAGCGTGTGTACGAATGAACTGAGTATTGTTGAACTCCGCGGCGCTTCCCCACTCCCATGTCCTCTCACCCAACGTCCCTGCCACCACTCCCCACTCCCAGGTCCACTGTTAACCTCACCACTTCCCTTCCGTCTGAAGCGCTAACGATAATAAATGCTTGGCACTTCGAAGCAACGGAGGCGCTGGGGCAAAGTCAGGAATGTGGCACTGCCTGAGGTGCGCTGGCTATTTCGGTCGCTCGCTGCCCCATTATGTGCGGACTGCACATTGCACTTTGGCTGAGTGGTAAACGACTTTAAAGATGCTGCCTGGCCTGCTCCAGCTCCACACTGTGTTATCTTAAACACTCCTAACGCCCCTTTCCCACATGCATCAAAGATAGTCATGCCACCCACCCCGAGCTGGATCCCAGGTAAAAGTAGAATTAATTAAATTCCAATTTGGACTGCAGAGATCCTTCAAAGTGACACCGAGAGATGCTGTAATTACCTCGATTCTACCTTTCTCACAACTGGCTGTAGAAAGCTTCCTTGATACTGTGGGGGGAAAAAAGACACACCACCAGCAGAAACAGTGTCCCCTCCACTTACTTTATCTGCCAGGATCATGGAAGAGCCGCCGTGTATTCCCAGGATGGGGATAAAAGTCTGGGAGGATATAAAATCCAAAATCTGAGCGATAGCCTCCTGGTCAGTGTCATCTCCAAAGACCACGCCGTGAATCTTGGTGCCTGACATGAGGTCACACACGTGGGTGATAATGCTCTTCGGGTCGGTCTGGTTCACCGCCACGGTCACCACGTTGACATCGATGGGGAACCCGGGGCCGTCTTCCCGGACCCACACGTCCCGAAAACCGGGGCTGTCGGGGCTCCTGCCCAGAATGACGGCGATATTCAGGGTCGGGTAAGCCGGCTGCCCCCCGCTCAACTCCAAGTGCACGATCAGGAAGTCCAGGGCCAGCACCGCTAGCAAGCCCAGGCGCCCCATGTTCCGAAGCTCCTTCGCCTGCAAAAGGGGCAAGACGGAGAAACAGCTGCAGATTGCACCAAAAAAACTCCCCCCAGAAACAGACCGTTTCTCTCTTACCACCACCGCCCCCCCCACACACACAACCTACACACACACTTACCCCTTTAGATTTTTAACAACATCTGCAAGGCACAAACATGGAAAAGTTCACCTGCTCACCAAATAAGGAGAAAGGATACCGCAGTCTCTGCATTTTTGGAGAGGTGCCTTGCTCCCCTCTCCCCACCCACCTCGTCATGAAGACCCAATAAAGTCACCTGACCTGATTTCCATCCTACTGTGTATTCAGGACAGGGAACACAGGACTCTCTTTCTCATGCTTCGGGGTCGGGCTTGTTTGGGTGTTTCTTTTAGCTTTAAATCAGCGAGTGGTACCGTCGCCCCCCACCTCCACACACTCACACATACTACACACAAGAGAAATCAAAGTCCTATCTCAATGTATTGCACAGCAAGCTTTGGCTAATTTGTCTATTTCGGTTTGAAATCGAAAAGGTGGGGGGGTGGGTATATGTTTCCGGAGCTGGAACAATGCAGCATAGCGCCGTGGAATAATCTCAGAAAACACGTTTGGCTTAACGTGCCGGGAGCTGGGTTGTTGGGGGTGGGGGGAGTTAGTTAAAATATCCAAGTCGAATGCCAAGTGCCAGTTTTGATTTGCCAAGGTAGTAACGGAATATCAACTTAACCGCCAGCATGAGGAGCTATTTTAGGAACAGCTTGAAGTCACGAAATGTAACATTGTGGATGGAGTGGGCGTTCAGGTTTCACTGATAATCGAATGAATCATTTAGTCTCTTCCATGTTGATATACAAGAGACGCGAGGCATGAACTGAATGATCAATCCCATTGAAACACTTCCCAATCCCATCTCAACATTCCTTATACACTACCAATGTTTTAATGGGTGCGAACTGTTTCAAAGGTGGCTCTACACGGCACGAGTTGGGAAGGCTAGACTGTTCAAACCGATGAGCTAAGTGAACCGGTGAGCGATGTGAAATAAATCGGTATCGAGTCCATTCCGAAGCCAAATTCTTTCAGATGAGCTGGCGGGAGGAGAGAGCGACAGCGGCCCCTGCTGTTCTACTCGCTAGCGCCTAATGTGAGAGGCTGATGCAGGAAGGCGTGCAACAGCAGGATTACCTGTGTGACATACCTTCAATATTGCAAAATGAATCTCCTTGCTGGCATATTGGAAGGATTTGCATGTCTTGGTTCCCAGCACCAAGGGTTACTGTGTGGGTCGCTGCATCTCCACAGAATGCCACTTTAATCTCCAGTTTATCTCCTTTGCACTCAGCAGCAGCGGCTCTTGTACCGGCAACTATCGAAGCATGAAAGTATGCAAAGTTGGTCTACATTGGGCATAAAATGCAGTGAGCCCGATTACAAAAAAAAGTTCAACACGCCTCAAATCTTTTCTCTCTTCCTTTTGAACTTTTTTCCTTTAGACTAAGCACTATAAATGCTGCGAATTGCCTGAGTGTAAGTGAATTTATTTGCAGCCAGCAATGCCCACGTTGAGAAAAGCTGGTTTGCACACGGGACAAATAGGGCTTAGTTGGCAACAACGCGCGATTTTAACCCAGTGGGACGGAATACTGTACAAGCAAAAGCCCGAAACGTGGAAAATGAAATCGATGAGCGAATCTTACGTTAAGGAGTAATTGCTGCAAAGGGAAACCGAGAACTACTGCAAAAAAAGGGGTGACATCGCACACAAAAAAAAGGCGAACATACTTACAGCATCATTCTCGCACATAGCTGCAGAGCCTATGCTCGATAATGAGGTTGCAGGATAACCCATTTGTACTGAAACCCACCGGAACAACGCCAGCGAATATTTCCGCGGTGCGCTCGCCTGTCAGCGGATGCGTGTAACATGCTCCTGACATGTGCCTCCAAACCAGCAGCTCTCATCGTGCAAAATGCAAGGGCGCTCCCATGAGTGGCGTGGCGTTGGGCTGAAGCTCTCTGGGACCTTGAGAAAGCAGTAAAACCAAACGCCAGACTCGGCAAACTCTTCTGCCCAAATCGTTCAGCCTGCCTCTGTCAAGACTGCAATACTCTCTGTTGGAGGCATTAAGTCAACAACACATCCTTATGGAGACAATGTGAATTACAGCAGCTGTCGGTGTGACTCGGAGAGGTGTGTGGGGATGTGTGTCTTCAATCGAGCCCTATTTACTAAAAAAAGGAACCTTACAAGCAGCTTGTTTGACGTACCATTTTTTTTTCAGCGTAGCAAACCGACTCCACTTCTTAGGGATTTCTAAACGTCAAAGACTGGAAGACAGTTTCACCCGGTGAATGAATCCATGCGAATCCAGTCGCTGGAATGAATAGCTCGTTCTATCAATTGGCTCAAAAGCAAAAAGCAATGAATATTGAGAGGAAACACGGTCCGCCGTAGCTCGACCAAGAGAATGTGTAGATCTGCCTGGGTCCACTGCAATACGAGTATACACACAGCAAGCCAATTCTTAGAATGTGCACAGTACTGGAACAGAACAGATTGCTGCCTTCTTTACGCCTTAACCGCAATAGAAAATTAGGTTGGACACATGAAGTGGACTTTACTGAGTGGAGTGAGGGGGGAGGGCGTGAAAGGCGATTGGGATGCTGACTGCACCGGGGAACGGGGCAGGAGTGACTGGGGCCAAGGTCCGGAGTACAGTCTGCCTTCGGAGAGATCCGTAAACTCTGAGCGAATGTGGTGTAGCAGACAACAGCAAAAGGGGGCGTTAGGGGGGCCCGTCAGACCAAGCCATAATCTCGCCACAGCTCCACTGACGGACAATAAAGAGCGTTGGTTTTAATTTCAGGGGGAGCCAGCTTTCTTGCTCCGACTGCAGCGTGCCGGTGTAATGCTGCTCCAAATTATCCGGGCAGCAATTCGGGGTCCGGCTTTCGGGTTTTGGTTTAGTCCATATCCGTACCAGGCAAATGAGAGATCCCTCGGTGCCTCAGTTTAGAAAGCAGTTTGTCACTTATGTCAGTCTAAAGAGGGAGGGGAGGGGGGAGGGGGATCCTGGAGCAGTTTAAAACACGTCGTTTCCTTTCCCTCACACATTACAACGTTGCTCACGTAGCTCGGAATTTCTCCGCTTGAAGATAAATCTGCTCGTTCTTTTTTTGGCTGCGGCTGACGGATTCTCACATTGTAGCGCCGCTGATCTCATTCATTCAATCCCCTTCATTCCGTGGGCGCTTCGTATAAGTCAGTTCATTTCTCTCTCTTTCTATACATTATGTAGAATGAAGAATGATTAATATAGCCGTGAGTGTAGGGGATCGATGAACGTACTATTTCCAGAACAGGCGCGAAATTATTCGTGTAATGCAAAGGATGTTAAATCGCCCTTTGCCGATGACTTTTACACGGTGCGTAATACAATTTCATCAAGACAAACCTTTCTTTTTGAAAAAAAAGCATACATTGTAACCAATCACCTCTCCAAATCCAATAGCTACAGCGTTGATGGGAAGCGACTGGGCACTGCGGAGAAAGATGGTTACAGGTAACAAATGCTGAGGAACTAAAACAAAAGGAATTCTTATCCCACAAGTCGCTCATGGACACAGCACTGATGTGGCTAATGACTGTCTGAAGCCCTCAGTCTTCTTCCCTCCACGTGGAGGTGGCTGTTACTGGACAGAGGTAACTGTTGGATGTTGCTTGCTTCAATAAGGCGCAGTCCCCATCTAGAATCGCAAACGGTTTTCTCTCAGCGCCTCGATGTATTCGAGTGTGAAAAGTTCGAGCGAGATTTGGCAGGAATACACACGGACACACACAAGCAGTGGTGCAGAGTTGAGTAGAATCCCTGACGCCCGGTTTTGGCCCTAGCTATCATGCCGAGCTCATTTCAGGCGAGTGGGAACCAGTAGGTCATAGATCATGGAATCATAGAATCCCTCCAGTGGGGAAACAGGCCCTTCGGCCCAACAAGTCCACACCGACCCTTGGAGCATCCCACTCAGACCCATCCCCTATAACCCACCTAATCTACAGACCCCTGAACACTATGGGCAATTCAGCACGGCCAATCCACCTAATCTGCACATCTTTAGACTGTGGGAGGAAACCGGAGCACCCGGAGGAAACCCACACAGACACGGGGAGAATGTGCAAACTTCTCACAGACAGTCGCCCGAAGCTGGAATTGAACCCAGGTCCCTGGCGCTGTGAGGCAGCAGTGCTAACGACTGAGCCAGTGTGCCGCCCTGCGCCGGTGATTCCCATTGATTTGGACTGCCCAATAGGAGGCGCCGCAGGACAGCTCACTCTTAGAGGAACAATATGGGCGCTGGCCTCGTGGGAAGATTGGAGCTCCGTGGTGGGGGGTGACTCTCTCCAGTAAATTAGACTGTAATGCTGCTTACCACTTCATGGAATCCCCAATTTACGTTGGGGTCGTCTGAGAGACATCTTTGCAAATGTATGTAAGTAGAGCAAACGTCCCCATGATATAAAAGAGCTCCTCCGCACCACCCCCCTCCCCGACCCCGGTAGGGTTCTTCTGGTGCAGTGATAGTGCTCCGACCTCGGAGCCCGGCAGTCCCGGACATCAAATCCCACCTGCTCCAGAGGTGTGTCATGGCATCTCTGAACAGGTCGATGTGGAAAATATCAACGTCTTGAATATCAACCTACCCTAAGTAATGGTGACCAACTGAAGTAGGCTGCCAGGTAAGGTTGTGGTGACGCAGTGGTATTGTCCCCACTTCTAAGGCAGGAGGCCAGGGTTCAGGTTCCAACTGCACCGACGCATATGCAATGTCATCTCTCAATAGGGTGATTAAAATTTTGTTATTAAAAAGAGGTCCCAGATTAAAGGTCCAAAAGGCAACGTTTAATGTAGGAATGACACGCTGGCTCCCAGCGCTACAGACCCGAGTTCAATTCCAGCTTTGTGTGAGTTTGCAAATTCTCCCCGTGTCCGTATGGGTTAGCTCCGAATGCTCTGGTTTCCTCCCACAGTCCAAAGATGTGCAAATTAGGTAGATTGGCCATGCTAAACTAACGTAGTGTTCAGGGGGTGTGTAGGTTAGGTGGGTTAGCCATGGGAAATGCAGGGTTACCAGGATGGATCTGGGTGGGATGCTCTTCGGAGGGTCGGTGTGGACTTGTTGGGCCGAATGGCCTGTTTCCACACCTTTTGGGATTCTATGAACCGCCAGAGTTATTCTGAGTCAACAGACCGCAGTGAAATAATAGTTTCTATTGAAAGCTGTAAGCCCTTTTCACAAAGGCATAGCCTAGTACAGTGTTAACACAATCCGACATTTAACCAGGTTTTGAAAATTCTTATCATAGATTGGAAATGATCAAAAATAGGGTTTGGAAATGATTGCTGAAAGGTGTAGCAGTTGAACAAAGAAGGATGCGGGGAGAAGGACAACGGCATATGAAGACGTGGAATACAAATCAGACACAACTGCATTTATTTGGCGGTCTTCACCACAGGACATTTTGAAGCTCATTACACCCAATGGAGTACTTTTTTGAAGCCATGTTATTTATGTAGAAAACTGGGCAGCCAACTGGCCACAGCAAATGCCCCCAGTCGTGATAATGACCAGATGACCAATATTCATCTCTCATTCACCGTCCCATTGTGTTGCAATGACCAGGTCATGATTTTGGGATGTTGGTTGTTGGATGAATACTGACGATTTTGGGATTGGGTTGTTGGATGAGTATTGACTCGAACCCAGGGAGGAATCCCTTGTTGTTCGATGAAATGGCTGCTTAGGATCTTCTCCATGAATCCACATTCCGGTCGCCATTCGAGTCATACCGGGTTCGAAACGTTAACTGCGTCTTTCTCCACAAATTTCACCAGAGTTCTTGAGTTTTCCCAGCACCTTCTGATCCTATACTGGGATGGGACTTTGGTTTAAAGTTTCGTTCAAAAGACTGCACGGCGCTCCCTGAGAAATGCACTGGAGAATCAGAATCTATTTCTGTGCTCCTTCCTTTGAGTAAGTGAGACTTTTTAACTCCTAACATTCTGACTCAGGGGTAAGATGGCCATCAATAGAACCACAGCTAACACAGACCAATAGGGGCTGAAGGGAGAGAGGCAATGCACAGAAGGTGTTCTGATGACCATACTGAGATGGAATATCTGACCAGCGCCAGATAGTGAACAGTATACAAAATTCAAAAAGGTGTCGGAGACGGTAATACTAGTTTTGACCGTATTAATTTTCACTAAAGATATTGATGTCTCCCGCAAAGATGTCCTTTCGAAAAGTTACATTGGTTTTCCACTAGTTTAGGGCATTTAATGGCATGGGCATTTAAATCCCGTTTAATACTGGTCGGGTTTAAAAACAAAACTGGAGGCAACTAACTGCAGCTGCTAAGAGGCAATCGGATGGCGCAACACTGGGAAGGCAGAGTCTTTTTGGAGTTTTCAGACATTATTGCGAAGAATGTGGTCCACTGGATGAGTGACCGTGCGCTGGAAACGTCGCCAAGCTGATGTTGTCAATTAGAAGTTTTCGCAGAAAGAAGCGGCCCGTCCCTTTAAGGCTCAGAGCGAATGGCCCACAGCTGCCGATGTCGCTGTCCATTTCAGCACCAGCCAGCAGACCCTGTGCTCACTGAGAACACTTCGCAAAGACTGAATTCGAAACAGCCCGTGTGTAGTGTGCTAAACACAAATCGTCACCATAAGACGTGAGTTGCTATTCCAATCCTAAAACCCACTTAGTGTAAGACCTAGTGTAAGACTGTCTTTAACGCTGCTCCGGTTGAAGGTTACAGCCACTGGGCTACATGATGGGATTAAATCCCGTTGGAAGGGCAGGCGTTTCAATATTTTGAGACAGTTCTGTCGTTTGAGTAAATTGGGAAGCCTATACCCTACACAGTGAAAGACTG